GAGTTCAGAGTCTGCCTACGCCGCCATCTTGACTCCGCCTCTCTACTCATTTTAATTTTCAATTGTTGATGGAATGTTCATAATCATTTTAGAGTTGTTATTAGTACAGTTGCAAATGACACGAAAAATCTATCAAAATTTTGTTTTACTTGAATTGTTCCTTTTGGCATAACAGACATAAATTTTTACTCCAACCTAATCTTCAAAAACATTTGTGTAACTATTACTGATTTCAAACAACAGTCAAACAACCAGAGACATAGAAGAAACTTAAAGTAAATTTAACAAGGCAATAGACCAAGGAGAACAATAAGAAACCACAAAAGGAGATACTGCAACTAAAAGAGCATTAGATTTTTTTACTGTTGTCTTAAAGACTATAGCTGTCCCTTGGTGTCTGTGGGTAATTGGTTCCAGGACTCCCCAGGGGTACCAAAATCCGTGGATGCTCAAGTCCCTTATGTAAAAAAGCGTGGTATTTGCATATAACCTATGCACATCCTCCCGTATACTCTAAATCATCACTAGATTACTTATAATACCTAATACAATGTAAATGCTATGTAAATAGTTGTTATACTGTATTGTTTAGGAAATAATGACACTAAAAGGAAGTCTGTATATGTTCAGTACAGATGCAACCATCGTAGGCCTTTCAATTTGTGGTTGGTCAAATCCACGGATGAAGAACCCGAGGTTATGGAGGGCCAACTGTGTACAGAACTTTAGGACAGAGTGAGTTCCTGAAGATTAGAATTAAGCATGGGAGGGAAAATTGAAAGGGATCATGTCGACTGAGGAGGCATTAAAATATATACAGATTTGAAAGAAACATTTACTTGGTGTTAGAGGATGGATTGTTTCTTCGTAGCATGGGGAGCTTAGCATAGTAGCCCTTTAGGAGTGTATAACTCTGTAGTTCAAGTTGGAAATTGCAGCAGTAGTAACTGAATTATAGCCTTGGCTCAAAAGAAATCATTATCATTAACATCCTTATTAACATCATCATCATCAACACCATTTTCATGGTCAAAATCATTAAAATTTATTAAAGTGTTTGTTTTATCCCAGGCACTGTGCTGAAAACTTTACATGCATTATCTCATTTTTTCTTGTATTCTGGGGGAGATACTTTTGTTAGCTTGAATTATAGATGAGAAAACTGAGGCTTAAAAGGTTTAATTAACTTGTCATGAGTTCACAGAGGTAATAAGTGACAGAGATTGGACTCAAAACTGGATTTTCTTTCCCCCAAACCTGTGCTCTTAACTACCAATAATGCAAAAAATAATCTGGAAAGAATATGAAGCCTGAGTTACTAATTTTAAGATCTCTGTTTTGGAGTTTACCATTAAGCAATATAAAATTTTGTGTTATGGCCAAAATAATTTTCCACCAGTGTGAATAATTCAAGAATATGTTATTTATTTTTGGAATTTCCACCTTTGATTTTCAGTAGAGTTTGAACTGCTAGAATAGAATATTTGACCGTTATTATTTCAGGGGACTTCAGAGGGCTGAATTTTTCAAGGAACGTATTATTAACAAGGCAAAGTTCTTTCAATATAAACTAGTATTTTAAGAAGTTTTCCTTATCTTTTTCCTCTCTCCTTAGGAAAAATTGGACGTAGGGGTGAGAAAAGAAGTCGATGGCATGGGAACATCTGAAATAAAATATGGAGACTCAGTATGCTACATACAACATGTAAATACAGGCCTGTGGCTAACTTACCAGTCTGTGGATGTGAAATCTGTGAGAATGGGATCCATACAACGTAAGGTAAGGTTATATAAAAACACTGTTTATAGCAGTCATTTTTTATGACTAAAAAACACAAACACAAGACAAAAAGGGATAGCTAACACTTTCAGCCACCTGCTAAAGTTCATCATTTACATGCTAAAGATCAAATCCCACCATAATGAACTCTTTGGTTTTTATAAGATGATCGTTGCTGCATGTTACATCACTGATTTAAATACTAAATGGAGAAATACACTCTCTTCTATATTCTAGCTGAGTCTACCTAATTCACTTTGTCCTCCATGCTGCTGCTGGAATTATGTTTCTAAAATGCAGAAGTGCTTGTACACTCTCAGCTCTGCGTCCATCACTGACACCCCATTGCTTACAAGAGAGTGACCACAATTTTTGATAGTAATGTGATCGCCTTCTTGACCTGCCTCCCGCCTCAGCTCTGCCCCATTCTCGTGTCCTTCGGCCAGTCTCAAAGCATTCTCTTCAGTGTCCCCAGCACGCCACTTATGGCACATTCCTTGATATCCCTCCAAAAAAAACAAGCCATGCTTTTTACACATCTATACATTTGCATATACTGTTTCCACTGTTTGGACTACCCTTTACAACTTTTTTTTCCTCCACCCAATTCCTACCCATCCTCCAGAGCTTAAGTTTAAAGATGATCTTAAAATGTCTTCCTGACTATCTCAGCTTATCCTCTGCAACCTCCTTTGTGTTCTCATAATATTCGTGTAAACGTTATTAAATTTAATATATACTCCCAGTGCTATTTTATTTGCTAGGCTACATGTCTCTCTCTCCTAATTTGTGAGCTCCTTTAGGGCAAGTACATAGTACTAGATTGTTTGTATTTCATATTTTTACACCAACATGAAACACAGTGCACAGAACCAAATAACAAGACAAATGTTATTTCTCCAAACAGGAGACCTTGGAAAGGAAGACTGTAGCAGGCAGAAATTTTTATTTTCAGTACATTTATTTATTTATTTATTTTTGTGAGGGAGATCAGCCCTGAGCTAACATCCATCCCAGTCCTCTTTTTGCTGAGGAAGACTGGCCCTGGGCTAACATCCGTGCCCATCTTCCTCCACTTTATATGGGACGCCGCCACAGCATGGCCTGACAAGCAGTGTATCCGTGCGCGCCCGGATCCTACCCTGGGCCGCCAGCAGTGTAGCGCGTGCACTTAACCACTAGGCCACGGGCCGGCCCCTTCAGTAGATGTATTAATCATAACATATACACAGTCCAGTATAGATTGTTCAATGTTATTGTGATCTGTTTAGAGGGACCAGTGCTGATTTTGGTGAATTGGAGGCTGGTTTTGCTTTGATGGGATTGGGCTTAAATGCATCCTTAGACTACTTTCCTCTGAGCTTCGGATGGAGATCCTGGGACAATTTTCCTGCAGACCCGTATAATCTTTATAATGAGATGATCACTTGTCTCTGAGGTCTTTGATCTAGGTTCATAAATTTAAATGCATTTGTTTGTATTCAGTATTTGTAAAGCATTCCTTATTTCCTGTGACTGAGCCTGGCTATTTTTAACTTTATTATGGAATATTCAAATAAATACAAAGGAAACAAAATAGTACAATGAACTCTTGTGTATCCATCACTAACCTTCAGTGTTTACAATGCTGTCCTATTCTTGTGATTTACATCTCCACTCCCTTGCCATATTCCACTAAATTATTACTGTTACTTATTTTTAATTTTTAGAGGTAAAATGTATATACACTGGAATGCAAAAAATTAACTGTAGAGTTTGGACAAATGGATAAATTTGTGTCACTCACACACATCACAATATGGAACGTTTCCATTTCCCCAGAAAATTGCCCAACATTCGTTTCCAGGTTCTCCCTGCCCCTTTTTCCCCAGGGACAAGTTCTCTTGTCGTCTTTACCCGCCACAGGTTAGTTTTGCCTGATGTAGAACTTCATATAAATGAAATCACGTGGCATGCATGTTTTTGTATATCGCTTCTTACACTTAGCAAAATGTCTCTAACTTTTATCCTTGTTACGTGCTTGGATCCAAAGAGTTGAAGCTGCTTTTTGAGGTCTACAGAAGCCAAGGAGCCTAGAGGTTAGACTAAGTTCAGTTCACAGCCTAAGGGGGAGGGACAGAAAGGAAAAGGCACAACAAAGGTGTATAATGGTGATTTACAATCCGTCTCCATAACTAGACTCTCGACACTGGAATCCCATCTTTTATTTCTTGTTCTCAATATCTAGCACAGTAGATGCTCAATCAATGTTTCTTGAATGAAAACATGTATTTTCAAGGATATAAGTTACAGTTGAGTTGATGAGATCCCACACGCACTTATTAGCTTGGTCTCCAACTGCATTGGCATTGCCGAATTTTGAGTGCACAGAGTGCTATGTTAGCGTTTGGAAGGTGAATAGCTAATGTCCAAATTGTAGCAAAAGAATTTGATTGGGCTTCAAAGCAGATTTTTATTTTGATAATGATATTTGGCCATGGCTCTTTTACCAGATTTAGCAGATTTTTTCTTTATCTTTTTTTTAAATGTTTTATTTTGAAAAATTTCAAACATACAAAAAAGTTAGAAGACTAATTCAATGAATATCCATATACCCTCTTATTAGATTCAACAATTATTAATAGCTTGCAACATTTACTTTCCTTCCCTCCAACTCTTCCTTCTTCCTTGTGTCTTTATTATATGCACATCCACACACACATCCACACTACCATTCTTATACCTAATAAATAATAATTCTATTATCTAATATTCTCTTCATAATCATATTTCCTCTGTTGTCCCAAGAGTGTCTTTTATAGCTCGTTTTAAATCAAGATCCAATTAAGTTTCATGGATTTGTTTATTTTTTTATGCTTCTTTAGTCTCTTTTAATCTAGAACATTCCTTACCTTATTTTTGTCCCATGCTACTGAGTTTTTTAAGAATCCAGGCCAGTTATAGAATGTCCCATGTTCTAGATGTATCTAACTTCTTTTTCCCATTGCCTCTGTCCCTTATAATTCCCATAAACTTGATATTAAGTCTAGGGCTGTGCTGGCCAAACCAGTAGCTACTAGCCACATGTGGCTATTTGGTGCTCGAATGTGGCTAGCACTATAGGAACTGATTTTTTAGTTTTGTTAAATTTTAAGTAATTTCAATTTAAAAGCTTGTGCTTGATTAAGTTGTTAGAAAACTTTTATGCATGTTTGGAACAACTTAAGTATGTGAATGTACTTTTCCAGCTATAAATGTCATGATTTCTAAAACAAATCGAATATTTTCAATAATAATTTGCTGTCAAATCAACATATTCTGTAAGTATAAAATACACACTGGATTTTGAAGACAAAGAGTGAAAAAAAGACTGTAAAATATCCCATTAACAAGTTTGTATATTTATTACATGTTACAATAATAATATTTTGGCTATATTGTGTTAAATCAAATATATTATTAAAATTAATTTTACCTTTAAAAAAATTTTTTTAATATGGGTTCTAGAAAATTTGAAGCTACATCTTTTAGGAACACCTTCTGCACCCCACCTCCGTGATTCCTTCCAGTCACTACTAGACTCAGGGGTAAACACTATCGTTGCTTGTGATACCAGATATGAGTTTTGTTGTTAGGCTTTTCATTTTATCAATAGTGATTTTATTGGATTCACCATATTGCATTCTATGTTCAATATTTACCAGAAAGGTAAAAGTTCAAAATAGATTTCACAAATCAAAAAGAACTGAAAGAATTAAACAAAGGAAAATTCTTAACTCACATATTACTTTCCAAGAACTCTTGTCTAATATCACTTTCCTAATAGCTTTTATTAAAAGTTGAGTATAATATATGGTCATGGGAGAAATGTAAGTTGAAATGGCAACGTGTAGACACACATTTTTGTAAAGATAGAAATAAATTCCTATCAGAAAATCATCGGAAACTCTTCAGGTATGATTTCCCCATTCTATATATTTAAATGGTAAATGCCAAAAAAAAAAGCCTTTCATTTTTCCAGTTAACCAGTTTAACTAATTGTCTTCAACCTTTTTTTGTATACATGTACCCCTTGAATGAATTTTTAAAACCGCATACCTCATGACATACTTTTCATTATAAATTTAAATATTTGCAAATAAAAGGATTTCTGGTCTACACTAAATATGAACATTTTAAACCAAACTCTACATATATACGTCTTTCAAATATGTTGTATGGAAACTAAATACTAAGAGTTTCCACAATTTCCTTGCCTCATTCTGCTGAATTCAATAAAACACCAAGCCCTGACAATTTTATCTTCTGAGTGTACCTCATATCAATTTCCTCTGCTCCATCCTTCCAGATCTAGTTCAGCCCTCATCTTCCCTCCTGTGTGCTGTTTCCATAGCCTCTTAACCAGTCTGTCTGCCTTCAGTCTCAGCTCTTTCCAATTCACTCGGACTTTGTGACTGCCCTGCTTAAAACCCCTCCTGGCTGAGCCTTACTTCCTATGCTAATTCTAGTCTCCTTACTATGACAAAACCTGATCACTTATCTCATCACCTCCAGCCCCTCCCTGTCTTCAGTCCACTGCAGTAATGCTAGGGTTCTTAGTCAGTACCCTACTGTCTCATTCCTTAACCATGGATTAAAGTCAGAATGGGATTTATATTCTCCCTCATGGGCTAACGTAACAGTTGCCTTTCTAGAATAGTTTGACAAGGATGTTAAGAGGCTAAAGAGTCTTAAGATAGTAAAGTAACATGTGAAACAGACTTTATAGGCCATAGAAGAGATAATCTAATTAAAATCTCTACTGTAAACTTATTACTATTTCTAGAATCATCTACTATATTAATCATTATGGGGAGAATTCAGTGTGGTCTTGATATACTGTGACTTCCCTAATCTATATCTCCTAATTTTTATATACTTCTCAGTTAGCTAGTGTCTTCAAATCTTTTGCTTTTTGTTCCAGAAAAGCATGTTAGTGGTATGTTCACCAAATCTTTACGTATTTGACACTGTCTTTCTGTTGTCATTTCATATGAATAAAAACTTGGTTAGTTAAAAAATGTCTGAATCACTATTCGTAGCTTTTATATATCCCACTTAGTGTGTATATTCATGTTTTGCTGCAGAAATGTAAATTTATTGATTGTGGAGTCATGCGCAGACCACACTGGGGTGTTAAAAATATGTAGTTTATATCCTATGTTTCCTGTTTTAAAAAACATCCGAAAACTAAATTATGAAATGCATCTGTCACCAAGGATTTTTAATCAGCAAAAAACCCCATTTGGAAAAGAAATGTTGGGGGTAATGGCATTATATCTGCTTTCTTATAGGCTATTATGCATCATGAAGGCCACATGGATGATGGTTTAAATTTATCTAGATCTCAGCATGAAGAGTCACGGACAGCACGAGTCATCCGGAGCACAGTCTTTCTTTTTAATAGATTTATAAGGTACATTTTCTTTCATTTTTATGCTTGTTTGACAGTTTATTTCAGTATTCTCATTGGATTTACGAATAAACGGTTCTAAAATATAGTGTCGTGGTAATCTCATACAATTTGGTAGGTCAGCAGAACACATTAGGAAGTGCTAGTTAGATGAGTTTATGCCTTTCTTTTAAATGACCTTTTAAAAAAGGAATGTGCTTTTAGAAATTGTATGTGTAACTTGTAATTGATAGCTATGGGTCAGGATTATTCTATAAGATACCGTTGTGCTGGACCTATTTAATTCCCTTTTACATTGAGGGCATTGAAGCCTAGATACTTTGTGAGTTTTGAACTGTGTTAAGAAAATAAAGTGATTCTTATAATAACTAAGTTTTCCCACCTAATAATGGAAACAATTGCATATCTACAAACTAAATCAAGCTTGTGGTCAAAGTGCTTTCTGGCAACATTTTACCAATATTCTCTCTGACCTGTGATGGATATCATATATCTCTTTAAAGTTTGCCAATTTGATGGGAAAAAATGTATAATATGTGTGTATGTGTGTGTGTATATATATATTTATAATTATTTTAAATTTGCATTTGAGAATTATGAGAATGGGTATATTTCATATTTGTTAACCAGATTTGTTCACTTTTTGTTATTGTTGTGATTTACCCGATTATTTGTTGATATTTCTATTAGGCTGTTATGAGCTTTTGTTATGTTAGAGATATTAGTTTCCTATCATCGTAAATAAATTGCAAATATTTTCCCAATTTATTGGTTTCAAAAAGAATTTTAAAGTGTTTTTTTCATAGTAGTTTACTCATAAATCATGTTTTGGTTTTACAGCATAAAAATACCTCCACCACCAAAAATTATATAAATATTCATGTAATAATTATTCTCTGCTTCTTTTATAAACCATCCCACTGTGTGTGTGCGCATTTGTGTACATACTTTTTTTTTTTAAAGATTTTATTTATTTATTTTCCCCCCAAAGCCCCAGTAGATAGTTGTATGTCATAGGTGCACATCCTTCTAGTTGTTGTATGTGGGACGCGGCCTCAGCACGGCCGGAGAAGCGGTGCGCCGGTGCACGCCGGGGATCCGAACCCGGCCCGCCAGCAGCAGAGCGCGCGCACTTAACCGCTAAGCCACGGGGCCGGCCCTGTACATACTTTTTTTGTGTGTGTGTGAGGAAGATCGACCCTGAGCTAACATCTGCCAATCTTCCTCTTTTTGCTGAGGAAGACTGGCCGTGGGCTAACATCCATGCCCATCTTCCTCCACTTTATATGGGACGCCACCACAGCATGGCTTGCCAAGCGGTGCGTCGGTGCGTGCCCAGGATCTGAACCGGCGAACCCCGGGCTGTGGCAGCGGAGCGCACGCACTTAACCGCTCGTTCCACTGGGCCGGCCCCTTGTGTGCATACTTTTCTGTAACCAAAGAATGTACACAGCATTCAGCTTCATCATATCCTTAGAATTTATCTCATTTCTCTGCCTCATCTAAACCCTAATCCTTATCAGATAGAGTAAGGCTTAGAGATGGGGTAAGCATTAGGTTTTTATATTGTACTTACTACTTGTAAGTATTATTTGTATTTATTTTTGTATCCTTTTTATAGTATTTATGTCTTGTAATAAATAAAATTTCTTATATTTTTATGCAGTATAAAATTAGTGATAGGAAGTTATAACTTATTTTAGAGTCAATTCAACATAGCTTTTTTCCATCTTGTTCTTTCTACTAGTTCTTCTTTACTACAGTCCAATCAGTTCTATAAGGATTGAGGAGAATAATCATAAATCTTTAAAATAGTAAATTTTTTATTTAATTATATCCGTCGCTACTGACTTCTTCAAATACAAGGGAATTTTTTATTACAGTGTTACTTCTGTAGTGTTTTTAATGAGATTCCATTTGGTAAGCAATAACTTACTTAATACCAGAGAAAAAACTGATTATTTGTTGTTAAATGCATGTTAAATGTTAAATGTCAGAAATATACCTTATCAGTGTTTAGACTTAATGTAGTGAGGGTGTGGCATAAGTTACATTGTGTGACTGAGATACTATCATTCATCTTGGATGTGATTTGCTTTAGCACATTTGTTCTTTGCTCAAGACTACATTCATTTTTTTTTTTGAAGTAGTGTCTGTGATTTGAAAGATTAATTTTAGAATTTAACAATTGCTTAACTGATTAGATAGTTAGAGATCCAGACATGAGAAATTTAGATTGTGTGGCGGAAGTACTTACTGAATTATGTATTTGCTGCTTCATATTGAAATTCAAATTTTAGCTGGGTTATTTGAGTGAAATTCCTTCATTATATGTATCCTGATAAAATAGGATGCCTGTATAACCCACGTTTAACTATAAAAATGTTATCTGATTCCCACTCTGATCTTTAATATTTCTTGCCTTGGGTTTAATTTTTTCTCCTTTTTCTAGTTTCATAAGATGAAGGCTGACATCAATGATTTGAGAGCTTTCTCTTGTATTATAGTCATTTAGTGCTATAAATTTGTCTTTAGCGGCACTGAACACTTTTTGATGTGCTGTCTTTCAGTTTCTGTTTTGATTGCTTTTTTGACCAATAGATTATTCAGTTTCCAATTATTTGGGGGATTTTCCACAGATTTTTGTTACTGATTTCTAAGTTAATGCCATGTGGTCAGAGAATATTCTTTGTAAGATTGAATGCTTTTAAATTTATTAAGACTTGTTTTATGGTGCAGAATATGTTGTTTCTTGGTGAATGTTCTGTGTGCACTTGAAAAGAACATCCATTCTCCTCTTATCCAGTGGAGTGCTAAAAAATGTGCATTTGATCTATTTTGATTAATAGTGTTACTTAGATCTTCTGTTTCCTTTCTGATCTTTAGTCTACTTGTTATATTAATTATTGAGGGAAGGGTATTGAAATCCCTGACTATAATTGGATTTTTCCTTTTGTTCCTTGCAATTCTGTGATTTTTTCTTCATGTATTTTGAAGCTCTGTTATTAAGTGCATACAAATTTAGGATTATGTCTTTTTGATGAATTGACTCTTTTATCATCATTATGAAATTATCCCCTTTTGAATCCCTGGTAATATTATTTGCTATGACATCTAGTTTGTGTGATGTTAATGTAGCGCTCCGGCTCTCTTTTTTCCTTGGTGTTAGCGTTGTATATCTTTTAAAAATCTTTTACTTTTAACCTATTTGTGTCTTTATATTTAAAGTGCATTTTTTTAGGCAGTATGTAGTTGGGTCTTGCTTTTTTTCCCCAATTGGACAGTCACTGCCTGTTAATTGTGAAGTTTAGTCCATTATATTTATATGATTACTGATATAGTACTTTTAAGTCTACCGTCTTATACTTGTTTTGTATTTGGCCCATTTAGTCTTTGTCTGTTTTCCTTTGTTTTCTGCCTTTTTTTGCATTAGTTGAGTATTTTATATGATTCCATCTTATCTCCTTTGTTGGCTTATTAGCTATAGCTCTTAAAGTTATTTTAGTGGTTGCTTAAGATTTATAGTATACATTTTTAATTTATTACAGTCTACCTTCAGGTCATTTTATCACCAGGGATAGTATAAGAACATCTCAGTAGTATAGTTCTCTCCCAGTCTTTGTGCTATTTTTGTCATACATTTTGCTTTTATAGATATTACAAAACTCATACTACATTTTTATTTAAGGTCAATTAGATTTTAAAGAGATTTAAGTAAGAACAAAAATATATATTTGTGCATATAGTTACCATTTCTGGTGCTCTTTATTCCTTTTTGAGGATCCATATTTCCTTTGAGTATCATATTCTTCTGCCTAAAAGACTTTTTTTAAACATTTCTTATAGGGCAGGTCTGCTGGAGATGGACTCTTGGCATTTGTACATCTGAAAATGTCTTTATTTTGCCTTCATTTTAAGCAATATTTTTGCTGGGTATAACAGTCTAGGTTGACATTTTTTTTTCTTTTGGTTAGTTGATTTTTCTCCTTATTGATGATTGTATTTTATGCTGCTTTACATACCTGGTCATTTTTGTTTAGTTGCCAGACAATGTGAATTTGTTGTGTGCTGGATATTTTTGTTTTCCTGTACATATTCTTGAGGTTTTTTCTGGGATGCACTTAAGTTACTTGGAACAGTTTGATTCTTTTGGATCTTGCTTTTAGGATTTTGGGGCAGGAGCAGAGCAGTGTTTAATCTAGGGCTAATTATTTCCCACTATTGAAGCACGACCATCTGTCTACTCTACCTGATGCCCCATGAATTATGAGGTTTTCCAATCTGGCTGATGGGAAGAGGAGCTCTTTCAGATCCCATGTGAGGGTCGGCTACTCTTCCCTTTAATCATTTCAGGGAGTCCTGTTCTCTGCCTTGGATAGTTTTCTCACATGTGTGTGCTGATCAGCACTTTGCTGGATATTTGAGGGGGACCCTCTGTAGTTCTCCATAGTCCACTTTTGTGCAGTTCTCTCCTCTCTGGTACAGTGTCCTGTGAACTCGGGCATCCTTTATTTCCCCAGACTTCCAGCAACATCTCCTCAACTCAGAGAATCTTCCTGTGCCTCACCTGGGTTCCCCTTTCTACTCCATGGCCTAGAAATTCCCCCAAGACAGTAAACTGTTACAGTTGCAGGACTCATTTAGTTTGTTTCCTGACTCTCAGGCATTACTATTCTGTATTCCTTGATGTCCAGTGTCTTGAAATGTGTTTTTGCTCCCAAATATTTTTTCTGTTTTTTTTTTGGGAGGGGGGCATTGTTTCAGAAGAGAGAGTAAATCCTTTTCCTGTTACTGTATCTTGGCCAAAAGCAACTCAAATTGCAAATGACATATACAATTCTTATTTCAAGATGAGATTCCATGTTTCCCCTGGCGAATGTAGTCTAGGATATTTTTGCTAAATACTGTATTGATTTTTTTTTTCTCCTTTGGATTTCTTCCTTGTTACAAACCCATCATCAAATGCCATCTTTTCCTGAGTTATCTAGCATCTACTTTTAACAGTGTCTCTCTCCCATGTGACCACCTAACAAATGCCATGAACGAACATGAGTCTGTTTCCTTCTCTTGCACTTAACTGACCTTAATTGTGTATTAGTTTTTCCAAAATTAAATTTAGTTAGGCTTTTGTTTCTTTTCTCTTTTTTTCTTCCTAGAGTATTCGCCCGTTAGTTATATTAGTTAACTCTATCCATTCTGTTTATATGTATTTCTATATATACGGGTTTTACTTATATGCTCATTAGTATTACTGAACTATTAGAATTCCTGAATTTATGCAATTCTTTAATATATCTCAGAAACTTTGAAAAGTTTTACATAATTACAGAATATTGTAAACGGTATATTATTTTAAGTAAAATACTTTGATCCTTCTGTCATTCATGAATGCACCAAAAGTCTTTAAAATCTCAATATCTTTACAATATTTGCATCCATGTATTTTCAAAGTAAATTATTTTTTAATTGTTCATTTTATTAATGTAGATTTATTTACTATTAAGAGCCTCATTTTAAAAATGTATACTCAGACTTTCCATTTTTACTTCTTAGTGAAATTCAAGATCAATTAGTTTTTGTTCATTTGTGTTTTTCTCATGTAGTTTATTTTCTGTGATCCTTCTGGTCTATCTCTGGTGGTGGGGTGTGTGTGTTTTTGCATTGTATTGTGTATAGGGGAAGGGATTCTATTCTTATGGACTACAAAAAATATATATATAAAACCTTTTTTTCCTCTAATATATTAATAAATGTATTTTTGAAGTAAATGAGAGAAAGGAGGAAGCTCTGTTTGTTAGGTAGTAATATGGTTAATCTTCAAATTACAAAATGTAGACATGGAATTCATGGCTTTAATTTTTGCTCTGACATAGTGTGATTCTGCTACATATGGTTTCCCCTAATTATTTTTTCCTCATTTTTTTTTGTGATAAATTAAGATGATAAATATCTCTATATTAGATAGAATTTCTAAAATTTAGCATAATTAATAATTTTGGAGTCTTCGTTAGCATTTGTCTGACAAGAAGCTTCTTCTAGAAAGTAACTGAATGGTTATGTTTCTATTTTTTTTCCAGTTTTATTGAGATATAATTGATACACATCACTGTAGAAGTTAAAGGTGTACAGCATAATGGTTTGATTTATATATATTGTGAAATGATTACCACAATAAATTTAGTTAACATCCATTATCTCATATAGATACAATAAAAGGAAAGAGAAAAAGAACAATTTTTTTCTCCTTGTGATGAGAACTCTTAGGATTTACTGTCTTAACAACTTTCCTATATACCATACAGCAGTGTTAACTATAGTCATCATCTTGTACATTACATCCCTAGTACTTATTTATCTTATAAGTGGAAATTTGTACCTTTTGACCACCTTCCTCCAGTTCCCCGCCCTCCACCTGGTTACAATTCTGATAGCAGATATGTTCACCTCAGTAACCTAAAAACTGACATTTACTGTTGTTTCTCTTCAGGTTTGAAATGTAGATGTTATACTTGGGTCACTTTTGAATTTCATTCACTTTAGTATGATGAAGGTTGAGTTTGAGTTTGTTATAAATATATTTACGATTCAACTAGAGTTAATGGAATAAAATGTTTAGAACAGAAATATTTCATTGCATATGAATGTTTTAAAGGAGAGAAATAATTTTCTTCTGAAAAGTCATTTCTGTTGTTTTTAGGCATAGAAAAACTGATATAGATGATAAACTAGGTAATAGATGAATTCCGTTGATGTAATTGATTTGGAATTTCAGGTAAAACCTTTAGAATAGTCATGTAGTTTTACTATTTCTACTGTTAAAAAGCTGAAGTAAAATATTCCAAAATTATTGGTAATCTTTATGGAAATGATATTTTAAATAATATTTTTGAACATCATAAAGTTCAAAGATAAGCTAAATCTCTTTTATAAGGCATTTATTGTTTTTTAAAATATAAATTCCAATACAGTCAGATAATTAGCTAGAAACGTTTCCTCAGAATAAAATTTTGCCATACAATTGTGCTGATGCAGAGGGCAGAAAAAGAAGTATAATATTTCTATGCATTAAATTTTATCATGACTAATATGACAATATAGTATCAACTATAGTATAGGCTTTCTCCCATTTTTTTATAGTGCCTGTTGTGTATTTTTTAATAAACTTTTTATTTTAGGATAACTTTGATTTACAAACACCACGTGTTAAAGTTCTTTCCAGATACATTCAGTGCGATGAGTTTCGAAACTCAGAATCTCCAAAAGTTCAACAAATTAACATCCTTACATGTCAGTAGTGTTTTTCTTCAAAGGCTGGAAAATGCAATGTGGTGATATTTCTTAATCTGATTTTAAAGTACATTTCTTTCAGATAATAGAAAAGAATTTTAACATATTGTTTCCTGATTAATAAGCAAATTTTCTGAATTAACATCATTAGAATATATTTTTAAACTGGCAGGAATTAAACAGAATGGCAGTCAGTGATAGCATAGCAGTTAACAGTTCCTTCTCTATAAACTAAACAAAACAGAACAAGTATATGTCGGAATTATGAATCTGGGAAGTTGCATCTTAAACCTTAAAGTATGTAGTGCTTTAAAATGAAAATCAGTTGGTTTCTAAATATTTAGACCATTGATTTTATAGGCATGGGTCCTCTAGGCCCTTTGGGTTTTTCTCTAGGTGAGTTTCTCTCGATACTGGTGTTTCTAATACAGCACTATATATACATGACAAAATATAAAATTTCTCATTTAAATATATTAATTATTGCTGTTTAAGGAAAACGAGGACCTTTGTTATATGTTCCTTTTACAGGGGTATAGGGAGAGAGAATAAAGCTTTAAATCATCTATAAACTAAAAAAATAATAAAATTGTAAATCATTGATGTAGAGAAATGGTTGCTGTTTATTTTAGGGGCCTTGATGCTCTCAGCAAAAAAGCGAAGCCTTCCACAGTCGACTTACCTATAGAGTCCGTAAGTCTGAGCCTGCAGGACCTGATTGGCTACTTCCACCCACCAGATGAGCATTTAGAGCACGAAGACAAGCAGAACCGATTGCGAGCTCTGAAGAATCGGCAGAATCTCTTCCAGGAAGAGGTGAGTTTCTGCCAACCCTCATTTCTTTTCTGTCCTTGTCTTGGGAAAACAACTTCTTGGTTGGGGAAAATTCTCCCTTTGATATCTTTGCATTTTGAGATATAGATGAGCAGGTCTACTACTGTACAAGGGAACCAGGCCTCAGAGGAATCCTGCAATTATTTTTATTTCTTTATCAGTAAGTATTAATTTTAAAAGATGAAACTCTTCACTCCCCTAGAAAAGGACATTTTATCTTACTGTCTGCTCAGCCTCTATACTCATCATTCGTTGTACTGGAGTTTGCTTCCCGTGAGTTATATAAAAACAGAATCTTTGAGTGTCTAAATGAACACAGACTTTGGAAAGCACAAAGGTTTTCGTACTGTTGAGCAGGTTCTTCGGGGCTTCCGGGAAGTGCCTCAGGACCCACAGGGAGCTTTGTGTTGGGGAGGGGATCTGCCCAAGAGAGGGTCACCCGGGGAGGCGGAGCTCCAGGCTCCCTGTTTGGACAGAGAAACCCCACTTTTTCCTTGTGTTTATACTAAATTTCTAGGTATGATTCTATTTCACGAAAGTTCCACTGCTAAAAATGGCTCAGGCGCCGTATTTTATAGACAGGATAACAGAAGGACCAAGTGATATGTCCGATGTTCCTATGCTAGTGTCAGAACCGGGACCACGTATTCAAGAGTTTCAGTGGGAGGAGTCAGAGTTGAGCTTGGCAAATCAAGCCAGCTCAGCAAGTGTTCCCACTCTTCTGGATGCTCCCTGTATGTGGAATAATGAATTTTTCTGAGTAAAAATGTCTAAGAAAAAAGGTTAGAGGACATTGCTGAGTTCCCACAATTCCTAAATCTATGTTCTTCTAGTTTTAAAACTGCTTCCTAATTTTCCATGAAAAGCCCTTTGAAATTGACATTAATTTTTGTGGACTTCTTCATTGTGTATACAAAAGAAAGGACCTATCTGGAGACCCTAAAGGCATGAAAACACAGGAGATGTCAACATAAACCAATAATAACAACATGGAGTATTGGTTGGGACCTTTTCTTTTTGCGTATACCAAATTGTTAGACTGTACTGCATTTGTGTAATGTCTAGAAAAAGTAAAATGAAATATTGGGCTGTGAAAATTGAAAATATTGATTTAGATTAATTTTGTTTTCAGTTTCTCATATAAGACAATCTGGATAGAGACTTAGAAATGCTCTTAGGTCCCTTGTGCCTCTTGAATTCTCTGTGTGAAATAAGATAATTTGATTAGTTCAACTCTTTATAGCTCTTCCTTTCATGTACTTTGCCTCATTTTGACAACTTTGGTCTAGCAATAATCATAAAAGCGTAATTTCAAATTTAGACAGCATCTTACAAAGTTCTGTAAGGCATTTTTGATTTGCTTTAAAGACATCTTTTCATGAGCTTTTCTTTATTTAATTTATTAGATCTTCAGTTTGGTAATAAAAATAATAATAATGATGATTATCATGATGCCTACTCTAAGGATCTGCTCTTATGCTTATGTAGGGGAGGAAAAAAATCCTTTTTCCTCTACTCATCTTAGGTACATTGGCTGGGGCCCTGCAAATTAGACTGACAAAAGACAGATTTACAAGAGAAAAACAAATAGAAGTTTGCTAATGTGTGCAGTGCATATACACTGGAGTACTCAGTAATGAGTAATTCAAAGGAGTGGTTAGAACTTGGGCTTATAGAGCATCTTAATGAAAGAACAATAAATATGTAGAGAAGTGACAAAATAAAGGAAGGGATTTTGAGCTTCTAGGGTCAGCAAATTGTGGGAAGGTAATATATGGGGGAAACTAATGGAAGATAAGGGCTAGTTAGTAAAGTTTGTGATGTAGATTATCCTGGTGCAGTCTCTGGGCTGGTAAGAGTCAACATTGTCTCCCTTGAGTACGAAACTTCCTGCCCTTCCTGATAGAGGGGAAGGGCAGAGCATTTCTCTTTTGTCTGATTTTACTCAATCGCCTTCAGCTCAAAATAATCCTTATGCCCAAGTGGCATATTTTGGGGTGACATACTCTGAACCCCGTCACTTACTTACAAGAGAATACTGTTATGACTGATTCATTGATCTAGTATTAAACCTTGCAAATATAAATATGAAGTACATATTTTTATATTGTTCTGCTACTGTTTGAGAATAGTACTCAGGATTTAAAACCTGCTTGAATTATTTCAAGAACATTTTCTTTCAAACACATGCAAGTGTGTTTCTTCCCGTCCTTTGAATAAATGATCTCAGTTTTCTTTATGATTAACAGACTTACTTTAAGCCAGGCTTTTTTTTTTTTTCAAATCGATTTCGCGTATTTTGTCTGTGAGCAGAGTCACAGTTTCTACTGGTGATTTTTTTGATCTCCCAGGGAATGATCAACCTCGTGCTCGAGTGCATAGACAGGCTGCACGTCTACAGCAGCGCGGCACACTTCGCAGATGTCGCTGGGAGAGAAGCTGGGGAATCCTGGAAATCGATTCTGAATTCTCTGTATGAGTTGCTGGGTAAGAAATGTGACTGGGTTTTCAAGGCAACTGATTTACGTCTATTTGAAATGATCACTTAACAGTTATAGCAGTTGTATAAGATGTTTCCTAATTGAGGCTGTTTTTACCTTAGTTGCACTAAAGCCAATGATGTTTAGTATTTAAATCGTCTCTGAGGTCAGGTTGTGGCCAGAGCAGTACATTTGCCTTTGGCTAAAGGAGGAGAGTCATCTTGGGTGTAGTTTTGTAGGTGAGGGGCTTCTGTATGGATATGTATTACATATTTCCTTTTTGATTCTGAAGTTAGTTCCACAAAAGCCCCTCCTACTCCCTCACAGTCCCATCTTGTCAGAGATCTCCTTCAGTCTCTTCAGTCTCCTTCTCTAGTCTTGATACCGAACCAAGTGGCTAGCCTTCTGGTGAGTTAAATACGACTACACCAGTGGAAGTTGTCTCACAAAGTAAAGTGTATTTGCAGCAAAGAGGAGGCCATGAGGAATCATTTCCAAACTCATGGCGTCCCTGAACAAAGGAAAGCAGGGACTTTTATTTCTGTTGGGGAATGAATATTCAAAAGGGAGCGGTGGGTATTCCCTTGCACAGGCTCAGTTGGACAACATGCTTCCACATAATAAGGCCTAAGCTCCTCCTGGAGAGATCTTTGTGTTAAAGATAAGGCAAAGGTCACGGGCATAGCTCTGGTGGTGAGGCTTGGTCAGTTTCAGGATGGCTGGTGGTTACATCTCCTTAACACACAAAAGGAAAAGAAACAACTTGAAAAACAGTTAATTGCTTCCAAACCCACCTTTGAGTTCCTCTGGGCCCCTAGTCGGTGACAGTCTCTTTGAGATCTGCATTTGCAGCTTCTAGGTATGCTTGACATGCTTTAAGCAACGCCTGCCTGTTTGATGCTGCATTCCTATTGGCTCTGTGCAAACAAAGGTCCTCATTATTTTTGGCTTGAACTATTCCAGCAGCTTCTACTTGTCTCTTGTCAAGAACTGTGAGATTTTACCCTATTTGTAAGCTAGTGGGTTAACCTGAAATTAGGATAACAAGGGACGGTTTATTTCTCAAAGCAATGGCTATAGCCAGAAAATCAGCATTTTTGGTGCCAATTCCTTGAGCCCCAATTCTCACAGGACAATATGAATGGAACAGTTGACAGCTGCACGTGCAGTTGGCTGAGTTACAGGAAAGGAATCTCGAGTTTAGGGAGCCCAAATAGTTACACTGGAAATATGCTGGGCCCGCCCTTTGCTCTGGATGGAGAAACCATCTCTTTACTTTGCCTGCTACAAACATTCTTGAAAGGAAAGTCCGAAACAAAGGCTTTTAGTGGCTTATTGGTAAGATGTGCAAAGACACGAGGCCTCTAGAGAATGGTCTTTTCTCTCATTTTCACTTCCAAAATCCCAGATTCATCTGGTATATTGCAACTGCACATGACTTCCCTGTTTAGGAATTTCTCGTATTTTTCCATCATTCCAGAAGGATAAAGTTCAACTTGCTTCAGCTGGTATGTGAGGCCCTGGCTGACCCTTCCAGACTAGTCTTTTCCTCTGTCCTTCTCCTACCCTTTTCTCTGGTCATACTGATTTTCTGAATATCTTGTACATGTGTACACTTCCGTGTCATTTTCTTACTTCACCTTTTCTGAAATTCCTATATATCCTTTAAGGCCCAGTTCACATGTCACTTGTTTTTCAAGTTACTTTTGACATTTCTCCTAACTCTTAGGCGTGATCAAACACTAACCCCCTATTCTCTCTCTGCTTTCTTGCCACTTAGCATTTACTTGTAGATAGCGCTGTTCACATTTCTTCTTCAGTTATATATGTGACTGTGATCTCCAGGGCAAGAATAGCACCTTCCTGATTTTTGTATCTCTGTCATTTAACTTAATGTCTGGCATGTGGTAGGTACTCAATAAATATTTAATAATTAAAAAAGTGTTTACTAATTAAATGACTGATTTCTGATAGAGTAGGAAAGTGTATGCTGAAGTAGAGAAAAGAGATCTCTATGCATTTTTTTATTTGAAGAATGAAAGGTAGTCAAAATATTTGAAAATTCTCTATAATCTAATTGAACTTCATTAAAATTTATAGTCATAATACTCTTTAGCAAATAGAACTCTTGTGCCTGCTAGAATTTTCAATATGCTTCTTTTAGGTGGGCTATTTGATGTGCCATTAAAATTAAACACATGCAGTTGGGTACTTTCACACTAAGGGGTAACATTGGCTAGCATTTCTTTGAACAGGACCCGGGACACATTGAGGCTTTATAGGAATCTGGATTCATTATTTAACCCACATCGATTATCAAGATAAGGATTTTATGACGCCAAAATGCTGAAGACTGCATTTCTTTGCCAGTGCAGAAGTTATGACACTGAATTTTTGAATATAGCGGAGACTGACTACAGTAGTGCTTTTAACACTACAATTTAATGTCTTCACTTGGTATGACATGGGCTTCAGTCCTTTGACAACTAGATACTTTAGGTAAAGAGGTGTATCATTGGTGTGTGTTGAGGGTAGAAAGGGTTATGTGCAGATAGAACACTGTTATTGTAGATAAATCTAGATAATATGCATCTTACTTATATTTTCATATCAACTCTCTCCGTAGTCCATTAGTTATTCCCTTCAACAGGTCCATGTGCTCATGTATTCATGAGTAATAAGAATGTACAGAGAGAATTATAATGATTTTTCTATAATCATAGAAAAAGTCTATTCTAGCAAAGTCAATACTTTAGTTTTATCCTTCTGGGCTACTTATCCCTCAAGCCTAGTCTCCCTTTAACTTCACAGAGTTCTTTGGGGATTAAATCTGATTTTTTTAGAACCCACTGAAGTAGCAATAATAAACTTTACACAACACTGGGGACTTGGTGGGTGTGAGCACAGCTCCTCATCAGAACTGGTTTTCTGGTTTGATTTTTCTTGGGAACATGGCTAGAAATGTGATTTTAAAATGATTTTCCTATTCAGAGAAGAAAGAAGCAGTTGTTGTAGGTGGAATGAGGCATCTATTAGGATGTGTTCAGTTGTAAATAACAGTCTCAACTCAAACTGGCTCAGACAACAGAGGACACTTATTGGCTTGCATAACTGGAAGTCTGTCAGTGAGTTTGACTCAGTACCTTGATCAGAGCATCCAGAACTAGTTTCTTTATACTGCTCTGCCTTCTGTGGGGTCCACTTCCTTCAATGCTGGCTTCACTGTATGGCCTCAGTTGGCTGCCATCAGTTCCAGTGTGCTGCAGATCTCTCTCTGACATGGGAGAACTGAAAGAGGGCTGCTCCTGGAAACTCTCATAAGAAACAGCATACTGTTTCCTAAAACTCCCTAACGAACTACTCCTTGCATCTCATTAGCCCAGACTGTGTCTGTGCCCCTTCCTGAGCCACTCATTCCGGCAAGGGGGATGGGACTTTCACCAACACTGGCTTTACTGATCAGAGGCCCACTCCTGAAGCTCAGGCAAGCCGTTGGACTGCCTGATGCCGTTCAGAGGTGAACATTACAGAGAATGCTGGAGAAGAAGCTGGAGTGTCCACTACAAATGTTAGCTCATGTACTTGACGTATCCAAAGGGTTTTATGGGCTGCATTCTAATCAGAATGCTTTTATCCACTGCCTAGCACCATGCTTAAACAGAGTTGGCACCGAATAAATTTTTGTTTAGATTATTTAATAAATACATTAGAGATTCCCATGGAGGTTAGATTTTCTGTAATAGGGTAGATGTGGCCATTGAGTCACTTTATTACACATGAGTGGGCCTGTTACTCCTCTACCATTATGTCCTTTTCTTGAAAAACAGAAACTTAATATTTAGTCCATAGACAACAGCCTCTGAAAAAATGAGCCTTCTGTTTGCCAGTCAGGGTCTCAGAATCCCAGCTCTGCCACTTACGTGACTTCAGACAGATTGCTAAGTTTGTGCTCAGTTTCCTCATCTGCAAAATGGAGGAAATAATAATGCCTAGGGTTATTGTGTAATTCCATGAGTAAATGTAAGGCACTTAGAAAAATGCCAGGCACGTAGCGAGTGACACCTGTTATTATTATAAATATTATCTGTAAAATACAATAATAATTCCCCTCATAAGTTTGTTTTGGGTGGCTTAAATGTGGTGACATATGTCAGATGCTTAGCATAGCATCTTCTTATCATTGTTCCCATTTCTTTTGGATACTTTTGTTATCATCCTGTCCCTCACTAACACAGTACACCTTTCTTCTCCGACTTCTGTTTTTGTTCTTATAGTTGTTTTTGCCTTTTAAATATGTCTTAGAAACTTCACTTGAAACTGTTGGCTATAACAAGGAAGGTTCTGGACTAGCTGATAGAAGATGTAGCATCATGATTATTGCAGATACACGATGGCTCTTGGTTTCTTCATCAGAAAATGGAGGAAATAAAGTTTTCTTCACAGTTCCCTCCAGCCTGAAAATTTTATATTCTGTTATTCCACCCATTCGCTGAACACAGTATCACACATCTTCTACATCTGTATGCTCCACATCTGGTGCATAGCTGGTGTTCAGTAAATACCTGAGATATGAATGCTTGAGATCACGTTGGTAGTTGGATACTGTAACATTTCTGGTTCATCTTTTTGAGTCCGCTCCTTCTCTCCACCAATCTCTATTTCAGACTCCAGCGAGCCCTCACACACTTCCTCATGAAATTTCATTGACTCTGATACTTGGTATGCACCCTTCTTATTCTAGTCTTTGGAATACTGAAGCCCGTGTCTGCTCTGTTCTTTCCTTCTCACCAGTAACCTCACTCATTTTGTCTCTAGTCGCTCAACATTGCCTCCTTCCAGTCCTTTCCTCCAATCCAGTACTATACTTCCAAAAGGTCTAGAATTATTTTATAGCAGAGATTTGGTATACAGTAATATATATTTATATTTAAAAATATATATGTATATATAAAACATATGTGTATATATGTATAAAGTATATATTTTGTTATTTACATCTCATTTGAT